CCCCCCCCCCGGCCCGGCCCGCCCCCGTTCAGCCCGACTCAGCCTCTTTCGGGCCCCGCGAACCTCACCCCCTCGGCAGCTTCTGCTTTTCAGCTCTTGCGTGCCGGGAGCCCAGCCCTCTTTGAATAAAGCCGCTGGTGGCTAACCGGCCTAGGAGCCTCTCATGCGACCTGGTGCGCTCTGAGCTTTTTGAGCCGGGAGTGAGGGAGCGGCCCTCCATTGCCGGCACTCTGTGCATCTCGGAGCCCTGCGGGGAGTCGTCCTGCGGGTGGATGTCACCGCCGACCTGCTGCCAGCAAGGCACGGTGATGGTGGTGGACTTGGGCTGATGCGTCTGCGTCCCTCCCCTGTCCTTTTTTTTTGAGTTAGAGTCTCACCCCGTCGCCCCGGCTGGAGGGCAGTGGCCTGCTCACGGCCACCCGTGTTGACCTGCTGGGCTCAGCAATCCTTCTCGCTCAGCCTTCCAAGTAGCCAGAACTATAGGAGCGTGCTACCACGCCCAGCTCACTTTTGATTTATTGTAGAGATGAGGTCTCGCCAAGTTGCCTGAGCAGGTCTCGAACCCGCGGGCTCAGGCAGTCCGCTCGCCTAGGCCTTCCAAAGCGCTGGGATGACAGGCTGAGCCACCGAGTCCGGCCCTCCTCTGGTTCTTCTAAGCAAGAAGATGCACTTGCAAGACGGTTGGCAGGGTCAGGAGTGCAGCCGGTGACCATGGAAGCAAAAGTTAGCTATTGCCACAGTCATACAGATCTGTGCCCTGTCTAAAGGATGACGTATTAGGGTCAGAGCACTGAAACCAGGTTCCAGAATGCAACAAGCTGGTAATTTCTCAGACTCTCAAAGTAATTCTTTTTTTCAACAGTGTTCATGGATACAACAAAGGACTTCATATCTTACTAATATTTGAGCCAGCTTTCAGTTTCCTATTGGCCAATAATGTGACTATAGATATCAGAATTTATTCTCAAGAGTCCCCCCAATGACATTTTTAGCACAAATACCCTAAGAAGTACATCATGCTGTCAGATCCACAAGTTGGTGGGAAAAACCCCAGTTCAAATCCAATTTAAAGTCCAGTGTAAAATTATATCTTTTTTACTTTGCAAAATCTAAAATGTGAAAGAGAAACACTTCTGACTAGTAAAAAAACTAATTAAGCAATCACTTTCAATACATGATTTAATAAAGTGTCATAATTTCTGGTAAATATTCAGATGACTACTTTGAGGTATTTTGAAATAAAGATGCTTTCCATATTTTATAGAGCTACTTTTAATACATTATCATTTACTGCTCTTTTTTTGTGTGTGTTGGAGTCTCACTCTGTCGCCCAGGCTGGCGTGTACTGGCACGCTCGTGGTCACCACAGCTTCGACCTACTGGGTTCAGGCGATCTTTTTGTCTCAGCCTTCCAAGTAGCTAGAACTCCAGGCATGCACCACCACGCCCAGCTAATTTTTTGATTTGTTGTAGAGATGAGGTTTTGCCAAGTTGCCCAGGCTGGTCTCGAACCCCTGGACTCAGGCAATCTTTCGCCTGAGCCTCCCAAAGTGCTGGGATTACAGGCTTGAGCCACCATGCCCGGCTCACTTACTGCTCTTAAGTGAGTTCAAAGTATACCTTATTCTAGCCACCAAAACTTTTAGAAAATGGAAAAAAAATGGTAAAAGCTACTTTTTGGGGGGGTCTTGTATATTCCAAAACTTAATGAGCAAATACTCAGTGCCCTTCCCCCATTCCTCAATCCAAGTTCACTGCCATTTCCTTATGTCTTGCTTTGGAGTGGTTTAGGATCTGCTTCAAATGCCAAGGGGGTGTGAGTGATGGGGCTCAGAGCCTTTCCTGTTCCAGATGGAAAGTTCTTTGGGGATGTGGCTCCAAACAAACATTCTTTGAGTCCAGCAGCTTTGCAGAGTGCTGAGCATCCTCCGGGTGAATCTTGGCCAATCCTTTCCACCGCTCCGGGAGAGTCTGGGGGCAGGTCAGACTTGGAGAGATGTACCTCCGGGATCTGGAGCCAGTGTCCCCAACACAGAGGGTCAGAACTGCAGCTGAGTGGCCCAGGGAACGGTGAGGGCACTTCCAAAGGCGAGGCCAGGACAGAAATGGGAGCGCAAGTAGCAGAGCCTGTGAAAGCTGTGCAGAATGGGACAATGTCCAAGCGCCGTCGTGCATTGCATTTCAGAGCTGAGTCTTCAGCTTCTACTAAACGTGCTCCGTGTGCCAGGAACACAGATAGGAAGGAGTGCTCTCTGGTCTTCCTGGAACGCACAGGTCATAAAGGAGATTGTGACCCATCATGCTCTCTTTGAATGGCATCTGGATCTATAGGGGCAGTGCATACGGCAGACTAAAGGAGCCATACTGGGCTGTGTGCGACTCAGACATCGCAAGAGGTGCTGATATGTCCTGTCTGACACCGTTGGGGGAGGAGGGAGAATCACACCGTGATTGTTTCTGACTTTTCTGTGGCTCTGAGCCTTCTCAGAAGGAGCATTTTAAATCAAAGCTCTGGCTGGGCGTGGTGGCTCACGCCTGTAATCCCAGCACTTTGGGAGGCCAAGGCCGAAGAATTGCTTGAGGTGAGGAGCTTGAGAACAGTCTAGGCAACACAATGAGACCTCATCTTTACCAAAATTTTTTTTAAAATTGGCTGGGCATGGTGGTGCCCACCTATATTCCCAGCTACTCAGGAGATTGAGACCGAAGGATCCCCTGAGCCCAGGAGGTTGAGGCTGCAGTGAGCCTTTATGGTGCCGTTGCACTCCAGCCTGGGTGACAGAGTGAGATGCTGACTCGAATAAGTAAACAAATAAACACATAGAAGAGTAAACGGGAGAGGTTTCTTGACTGATGAGATTCAGTTTTAAATATTGGATTGCCTGCCAGTGTATCTGTGTATTGGACAGGTTTAGTTGCAGCTAACAAAAATTACTCTTGCTATTTCGATCAAAAAGAGATATAATACATGAAATCAGAAATTTAAAAAGTCATTGGAAGGTAAGGGGGAGGAGATTTCAGGCCAGGACTCTAAGCATACTTTCTAGAATGCATGATTTTAATCCTTTAAGAAGTCTCTAATCTGGCCAGGTATAGTGGCTCATGCCTGTTCATCCCAGCACTTTGGGAGGCCTAGACGAGAGGATTGCCTGAGCCCAGGGGTTTAAGGCCAGCCTGGGCAACACGGTGAGACCTCATCTCTACAATAAATTAAAAAATTAGCTGGGCATGGTGGCATGTGCCTGTAGTTCCAGCTACTTGGAAGGATTGCCTGAGCCCAGCAAGTCAAGGCTGCAGTGGCTGTGAGTGTGCCACTGCACTCCAGCCTGGGAGACAGGGTGAGACTCCGACTCAAAGAAAAAAAAAATCCTAATCTAAAATGTTGCTATAGCAATTCATAAACTGTATGTAAGCCTTCTTGCTATATAAACAGAACAGAGAGAAAAATAAGCACTTCTTTTGTGCTAATGACAAAATCTCCACAATATTTGGCCAATGGAAGTAAGCAAGCTAGTATTGTTGAGCACCTACTATGTGCCAGGCATCGCCAGGTGTTCTTCATCTATCATGTCATGAAATCCTTAGTCATGACCTTTCCAAGTTGGCAGTGTCAACCTATCTTATAGGCAAGGAAACTGAGATTTTGAAAGGTTAGGTCACGCACGCTCAGGCAGAAAGTGATAGAGGCAAGATTCAAATTGAGGTCTGGTGCTCCAGCATTGGTTAGACCTGTTGTCCAGCATCAGTTACTAATCTACAGTTCTAGCTGGCAGCATCCGACCAAAGATCTCATTCAGTCTCCAAGCACCACAGTCAGTAGGCCAGTGTCCTCAGCCACTGAGAGTTATTTCTCAGTTCACTTCTTCTAGATGATGCATGAGGCCGTGTTCTTCAAAGATACATTTTGAAAGAGCAAAAGGGACGAGCAAACCAGCAACTTGTTTCTGTTTCAGGCTAAAATCATCTTGATCCACAACTTTGCAATCTCATCCAACATTTTTCTAAATACTTAAGAAGGTCAAAACTTCTAAGGAAAATTTTGGTTTCCATGCAGACAGTTTTGTCTGTACATGTACTAAGCATGTGGGTCTTCTGTCTAAGAATACAAATCTGATCTTCAGACATCACAGGATGATGATGCCTGATTGCCACAAACTTGCTGAATTAAAGCAACACAGATTTTCATCAACAAGGGTACCTGCATAATGAACATTTATATACCTAACCCTGAATGGTACCCCACATATTTAAAACATTTTTTTAAAGGATACAATAAATAATAAGAATGTTAGCATCAAAAAAACCCCACAAATTTATCTTGCAGTTCTGGAAGTGAGAGATCCAACACGGGTATCACTGGGATAAAACCAAGGAGTTGGCAAAGTGTATTCTTTTCTGGAAGCTTCAGGGAAGAATCCATTTCCTTGTCTTTCCCAACTTCTAGCAGGAGCCCACATTCCTTGGCTCACGGCCCCTTTTAATTTTTTTTACTTCTCTCTCTTTCTCTCCCCTTGCTTTTTTTCTTTTTTTCAATAGCTTGAGAGAATACAGATAGATTTTGGTTACGTGGATGCTTAGTGTCAAAGAAGTCTGGGCTTTAAGTGTAGCCACCACTCTTACCCGTGTACATTGTACCCAACAGATGATTCTTCGTTCCTCCACTCCTTCCCACCCTCCCCTTCTGAGTCTTCAGTGTCTGTTATACCATTCTCTCTGCCTTTGAAGATTCTTAGTGTAGCTCCTACTTATAAGTGAGAACATACGCTGTCTGGTTTTCTGTTCCTGAGTTAGTTCACTTAGGATAATGTTCTCTAATGCCATCCAAGTTGCTGCAAAAGATATTATTTCGTTCTTTTTTTACCACATTTTCATTATCCACTGATGAGTTGATGAGCATTTAGTTTGATTTCACATCTTGGAAATTATGAATTGTGCTGCAATAAACATCTGAGTGCAGTTGACCTTTTTGTATGGCAATTTCTGTTCCTTTAGGTAGATATCTGGTAGTGGGATTGCTGGATCGAATGGTAGATCCTGCTTTTAGTTTTTTGAGAAATCTCCATTCCCATTTCCATAAAGGTGGTACTAATTTGGACTCCCACCAGCAGTGTTGGGGGGGCAAAAAAACTATGGTCAAAACCCCAAAAGCAAATGCAAAAAAGGCTTTTTAGTTTAATTAAATCCCACTTATTTATTTATATTTTTGTTGTGCTTGAATTATCTTTTGTAGTACACTTGGAATTTGTTCCTCCAGATCAAATGGTCAACCAGAGTTTCTATCTGGAAGTTCTGACAGTGTCACGATTTGCAGAAGAAACGTCTTGAGTTGTGGCAAACAGGTGACTGGTTCTCCTACAACGACAATGCTCCTGCCCTCACCGCACTGAGTGTTCAGCAGTTTTGACCAAAAACGACTTGACCCCTGTGCTCCACCCTTCCTATTCACCTGATCTCACACCAAGCGACTTTGTTTTTGTTTTCCTGGATGAAAAACGTCCTCAAGGGGAAATGTTTTGCCAACGTGGGAGAGGTGAAGCCGAAAGACGGAGAAGCACTACAAGGCATCAGCATTGACGAGTTCAGAAAGTATTTTGAGCAGTAGAAAAAGCGTCTCAATAGGTGTATTGCACCAAATACTTTGAAGGTGACTGAAGGCTAGTCATGCAAGGATAAATACACAAGTTTTAATCAATTCTGAGTCTTCTGGGGTCTCCCCCTCACATAAGCATTTCTTTTTCACTGCATCTGTGCTAGTTTTTTTAAAAAAATAATGGCCATTCTGACTGGTATAATGTGATATCTCGTTGTGTTCTAAATTTTCATTTCATTGATTAGTGATGTTGAGCATTTTTTCTTATGTTTATTGGCCATCTGTATATCTTCTTTTGAAAGATGTCTGTTCATGTCATTTGCCTACCTTTTTTTATTTTTATGTTTATTTTTTGAGTTGATGTCTCAGTCTGTCGCCCAGGCTGGAGTACAGTGGCACACTCACAGCCACCCCAGCGTCGACCTGCTGTACTCAGGCGATCCTTCCCTCAGCCTTCCAAGTAGCCGAAACTACAGATGCGCACTACCACGCCCAGCTAATTTTTTATTTAATGAAGAGGCAAGGTCTCACCAAGTTGCCTGGGCTGGTTTCGAACCCGCGGACTCAGGCAATCCACTCGCCTCGGCCTCCCAAAGTGCTGGGATTACAGACTGAGCCACTGAGCCTGGCTTGCCTACTTTTTCTAATGGTGTCATTTGTTTTTTTTCTGGCTGATTTATTTGAGTTTTTTAATAGATTCTGGATATTAGTCCTTTATCAGATGTATAGTTTGCGATTATTTTCTCTCATTCTGTAGGTTGTCTATTTACTCTGTTGATTATTCCTTTTGCTGTGCAGAAGCTTTTTAGTTTAAGTCCCATTTATTTATTTATTTCTGTTTTTGTTGCATTTGCTTTTGGGGTTTTAAACATAATTTTTTTGCCTAGGCCAACGTCCAGAAGAGTTTTCCCAAGTTTTCTTCTAGGATTTTTATGGTTTCAGGTCTGACATTTAAGTTTTTAATTCTTCTTGAGTTCATTTTTCTATATGGTGAGAGTAAAGGATCAAGTTTCATTTTTCTCCATGTAGCTAACCAATTTCCCCAGCACCATTTGCTAAATAGAGTGTTCTTTTCCCAGTGTATGTTTTGGTCTGCTTTGCCAAAGATCAGTTGGTTGTAGGTATTTGGGTTTATTTCTGGATTTTCTATTCTGTTCCATTGATCCACATGATTGCTATTGTACCAATACCATGCTGTTTTGGTTACTACAGCCTTGTAGTATAATTTGAAGTCAGGTAATGAGATTCCTCCAGCTTTGTTCTTTTTGCTTTGGATTGCTTTAGCTTTCTGGGTTTTTTCTTGGTTCCCTGTAAATTTCAGGAATTGTTTTTCTATTCTTGTGAAAAATGACAGCGATAGTTTGATAGGGACTGCACTGAATCTATAGATTACTTTGGGTAGCATGGGCATTTTAAATTTTTTTGTAGAGACAAGGTCTTGCTATGTTGCCCAGGCTGGTTTCAAACTCCAGTGCTCAAGTGATCCTCCTGCCTCAGCCTCCCAAAGTGCTGGAATTATAGGCATGAGCCACCATGCCAGGTCAATATGGTCATTTTAACAATGGTGATTCTTCCAATACAGAACTTAGCATGAAATGTTTCACTTGTTTGTGTCCTCTACAATTTCTTTCATCAGTGTTTTGTAGCTCTCCTTGTAGAGCTCTTTCACCTCCTTGGTTAAATATATTCCTTGCTATTTTAGCCTTTTAGCTACTATTGTAAATGGAATTGAGTTCTTAATTTGATTCTCAGGTTGGCTGCTATTGGTGTATAACAGTGCTACAGATTTGTGTGTGTTGATTTTGTATTCTGAAACTTTGCTGAATTCATTTATCAAGTCCAGAGGTCTTTTGGAAGAATCTTTAGTATTCTCTAGGTCTAAGAGCATGTCATCAGCATACAGAGTTTGATTTTTTCTTTTCCATTCTAATAATTCCTTTATTTTTATCTCTTGCCTGATGGCTCTGCCTGGGTCTTCCAGTACTGTGTTGAATAGGAGTGGTGAAAATGTGCATTCTTGCCTTGTTCTAGTTCTGAGGGAGAATGCGTTAAACTTTTCTTTGTCCAGGATGTGGCTTTTATTATTTTGAGGAATGTTCCCTCTATGCCTATTTTGCTAAGGGTTTTTTTTTCAATCATGAAATGATGCTGGAATTTATTAAATGCTTTTTCTGTGTGTTTTAAAACGATCATGAGTTTTGTTTTTAATTTATGTGGTATATCACATTTTTTAACTGGCATATGTTGAACCATCCTTGCATCCCTGGGATAAAACCCACTTGATTGTGGTAGATTTTATTTTTAGTGTGCTGTTGAATTTTGTTTGCTAGTATTTTGTAGAGGATTTTCGTGTCTATGTTCAGTCAGGGATATTAGTCTGTGGTTTTTTTTCTTTATTTTGTCTTTTCCTGGCTTTATTATTTGGTATTATTACCAAAATGCCAATTCTATTGGCTTCCTAGAATGAGTTAGGGAGAATTCCCTCCTTTTCCATCTTATGGAATAGCTTCAGTAAAGTTAGTACCAGTTCTTCTTTGAAAGTCTGGTAGAATTCAGATGTGAGTCTATCAGGCTCTGGATTTTTTTGTTTTGGGAGACTTTTAATTACTGTTTCAATCTTGCTACTCATTGTTAGTCTGTTCAGGATTTCTATTTCCTCCTGATTCAAGATTGGGGGATATATGTTTCCAAGAATTTATCCATTTCCTCTAGATTGTATAGTTTGCTTGCATAGAGGTATTCATAGCAATCTAGGATGATCTTTTGTATGTCCATTGTATCAGTTGTAATGTCTCCATTTTCATTTCTGATTGAGCTAATTTGAATCTTCTCTTTGTCTCCTAATGAATCTAAGTAGTAGTTTATCAATTGTATTTATCTTTTCAAAGAACCAACTTTTTGTTTCATTGATTCTTTGTTTTTTTATTTCAATTTTCATTTACTTCTGCTCTGATTCTTACTGTTTATTTTCTTCTGTTAGCTTTAGGTTTGGTTTGCTTGTGTTTTTCGAGTTCCTTGAAGTGTGATGTTAGGTTGTCAGTATGTTCTCTTTCAGTCTTATTAATTTAGGTCTTAAGCACTATTCATTTTTTTCTGAACACAGCTTTGGCTGTGTCCCAGAGGTTTTGATTACTTGTTGTGTTATTGTCATTCATTTTGAAGAATTTTAAAGTTCCATTTTGACTTCTCTGTTGATCTAAGGACCATTCAGGTTCAGATTGTTTAACTTCCATATTTTTGTTTGGTTTTATGAGTTCTTCCTGGAGTAATTTCTAGTTTTATTCCACTGTGGTCTGAAAAGGTGCTTGATGTCATTTGGATTTTTTTGAATGTATTGAGACTTGATTTGTATCTAAATCTCTGGCAAGACCAGGGAAGTTTTCCTCAATTATTCCCTGAAATAGTTTTCCCAAACCTGTTGCTTTCTTTTCTTCCTCAAGAACACCTATAATTCTTAGGTTTGGATGTTTTACATAATCCCACATTTTTTTTGAGACTTTGTTCCATTTTTTTATTATTTTTTCTTGTCTGATTGGGTTAATTCAACAACCTTGTCTTCAAGTCCTGAGATCTTTCTGTTTTTTCTAGCCTACTGTTAAAACTTCTCACTGCATTTTGTACTTCCCTAAATGAGTCGTTCATTTCCAGAAGTTCAGCTTGTTGTTTGTATGTATGTGTGTGTGTGTGTGTGTGTGTGTGTATGTGAGTGTGTGTGTGTCTATCTCTTGGAAAATTCTTCATTCATGTCCTGAATAGTTATTTATTTATTTATGCTGGTTTTCAATTTTCTCCTAGATCTCATTGAACAATTTTATAATCAACCTTTTGAATTCTATCTCTGGAATTTAAAAGGTTTTAATTTTGGTTAGGGTCCATTGCTCAGGAGTTAGTGTGGTCTTTTGGGGGTACTGACACTCTGTTTTTCATATTGTTAGAATTATTTTTCCAGTTCTTTCTCATTTGGGTGTACTATTTCTTCTTATTTGAAGTTGGCAGGGCACTGGAGGGTTTCCTTGGTTATATTGTTGTGAGCGAGTCACAAGAAATCAGATAGCCAGCACAGTAAAAGTCAAATTGATGAACCCTTTAATAGCCGGTGGTTGAGAGGGGGTTTGTTCCTCCAAGACTCTTGACCCCAAATGAAAGTAGTGGGGTGCTTTTATAGGCAAAAGCAGTTGGGAAACTGAGGCATTACAGAGCTAAACCTACGTTTTGGGGTTTGGCACATCGAACCCTCAGAGAAGGGGGAAGCTGTTAGAGCACTGGGTGGGGGTACAGGGTTGTGAGGGTTGTTTATTAGCAAAAAAAATTTTTTTTTTAAATTACTGCCTCAGCCATACAGGGATTCAGTCACAAGTTAACAAAATGGAGGTGAATTAGAAAATGGAGTTTTAACTAAAATCATTTATATGAAAATAGGGGTGTCTGCAGAGCACAGCTGTGGGTCAGGCAGTTTCTCCTGAGGGACTGGAGTTTCTCGAGCCTCAGGGGCCCTTCAAAGTCCATGGCAGGAGTACAGAACTCCTGAATTCCCCTGACTTACGCCCCTGCTATGTCCATTTAAAAGATACTTACGGAACTCCCATCTCATGCCAAGTACTATGTCAGATATGGTCTCTGCAGTTGAGACCCTCACGGGTCTAGTGGAAGAGAAAGACAAAAATACATTTGTAATTCGATAGAATAAATCCTGTGACTAAATGCACAATGAATGCACTGACTGGGGGCATCTAGATTAGATTGGGGCGAGAGGTAGGCTTAGGGAAGTCTTCTGGAGAAGGTGATATTTAATCTGATCCTTGAGGAATGAGCAGGAATTAACCAGGTAAAAAATCAGGAAGAGTATTGCTTAAAGAAGATTCACCTGGGTGCGGTGGCTCATGCCTGTAATCCCAAAACTTTGGGAGGTAGAGGCAAGAGGATGACCTGATCCTAGGGGTTCTAGATCAACCTGGGCAACTTGGTGAGAACTTTTCTCTACAATAAATTAAAAAATTAGCTGGATGTGGTGGTGTATGCCTATGGTTCCAGTTACTTGGAAGACTGAGGTGGAAGGATCACCTTAGCCCAGCGGGTCAAGGCTGTGGTGGCTGTGAGCGTGCTATTGCACTCCAGCCTGGGTGACAGAGTGAGACTCCGACTCAGAAAGAAAAAAAAAAAGGATTAGTGTATGTATGTAAAAACTCAAAGACATGATTGATTATGACATATTTAAAGAATCTCCATAGTGTGGCCTAGGCAGAACCTTTGTGCATGTGAGAAACAGAATATGAGGCTGTGATGGTTACTTTCATGTGTCACCTTGGCTGATCAAACATTATTTTAGATGTTCCTGTGAGAATCTTTTCAGATAAGATTTACATTTAAAAGAGTAGTTTTTAAAGCAGATTGCCCTCCATAATGTGGGTGGGCATCATCCAATCAGTTGAAACCTGAATAGAATAGACTGATCTTCCCCAAGCAGGAGGAAGTTCTGCAGCAGACAGAAACCTTTGGACTTGAACTGCAACACTGGCTCTTCTCTGAGTCTCCAGTCTACTACGCACTCTGCAGTTTTTGAACTTGTCAGCCTCTGTCATTGTATGAGCCAATTCAATCCCTTAAAATCAATTAATCAATCAATCTCCCTCTCCCCCTCACCCTCCCTCTCCCTTCCCTGTACACACACAGACACACACATGTGTTCTATTGATTTGGTTTCTCTGGATAACCTTGACCAATACAGAGGCTAAAGGCAGAGGATCCGGGAGAGTTCTGAACATTTCTGTGGTTTGGATTATCAAGGGAAACTACAGATCCAGTTACTTAAACTACTGTTGATTTAGTGGTGATATTAAGAGAGTAGATATGGGTATCTGGGTCTGTAAGGTCCTGGAGAGACGTCAAGGGCCTTAACATTGTTCCCCATACTTTTTCAAGTCTCCCTCTTCTTCACTTTCAAATCTATTCCCTTCTATCCAGCAAACGTTTGTTGAATGCCAGGATGTATCAGGCACTATGTTAGGGCTGAGGATATAATGTTGAGAAAGTCTGCCATCAAGAAGTGTATGGTCTGGTGGGGAAGACAGAATATAAACAAATGAGTGCAGGGATAGTAGAGGTCACAAAAATGATAGAGGCCAGAGGAGACTTTGCAAAGGAGGAAGTAACACCTGAGCAAACCATCAGAGCACATATGCAAGCTCTACGGGTATTAGAGGCAGAAAGGGAGGACCAGGTCATTCCAGGCAGGCAGAACAATGTGAAAACAAGTTAGAATTGATCAAGCACTTGCTAGGGGCCAGATACTAAGTGTTATGTATGTATTAACTAATTTAATTTCATTCTCCCCTGTGAGGTTATACTATTATCATCATCACAAATTTACAGAACAGGAAATAAGCAAGGAGGTTAGTAAGTTGCCCAAGGTCACACATTTATTATGTTCTGTAGCTAGTATTCAAATCCAGGGAGTCTGACTACAGTATCCACTTCTTAAAAATAAAAAATCTGCCAGGTGTGGTGGCTCACACCTGTTTCCTAACACTTTGGGAGGTGGAGATGAGAAGATTACTTGAGCCCAGGGGTATGAGACCAGCCTGGGCAACTTGGCAAGACCTTGTCTCTACAATAAACCAAAAAATTAGTCATGTGTGGTAGCACGCGCCTGTGGTTTCAGCTACTTGGAAGGCTGAGGCGGGAGGATCTCATATATATATATATATATATATATATATATATATATATATATATGACAGAGAGTGAAATAGGAATTTTTTATACATGTATATATTATATGTATAAAAATTATATATAAATATATATAAACTATATTATATATAATCCATGGCAGCTCATAGATTCACTAAATCTTAGAGCCAGAGGGCCATTAAATAATCTAGTCAAGTGATTCTTGAGCAAGAAAATTATTCATTAGAATTAGAATTGCTGGTGAGATTGTTAAAAGTACCAATGCACAAACAACAAACAAACAGAAACCCCAATAAAAAGCACAATCTCATTCACAATAGCCAGAAAAAAAATCAAATACCTTGGCATCTTCCTAACTAGAGACACGAAAGACCTTTACAATGAAAACTACAAAACACTGCTCAAAGAAATCAAAGATGATGCAAACAAATGAAAATATTCCATGCTAGCCGGGCTTGGTGGCTCAGCCTGTAATCCCGCGCCTTTGGGAGGCTGAGGTGAGTGGATTGCCTGAGCCTGCGGGTTCGAGACCCACCTGGGCAGCAAGACCTCATCTCTACAATAAATCAAAAAATCAGCCGGGCGTGGTAGCGCATGCCTGTAATTCCAGCTACTTGGAAAGCTGAGGCAGAAGGATCGCTGGAGCCCAGCAGGTCGAGGCTGCGGTGGCCGGGAGCGGCCACTGCACTCCAGTCTGGGTGACAGAGTGAGACTCCAACTCAAAAAAAAAAAAAAGAAAAGAAAATATTCCATGCTTATGGACTGGAAGAATCAACATTGTTAAGATGTCCATCCTACCAAAGATAATCTACAGATTTAACACAATACCCATTAAATTGCCAGCAGCATTCTTTTTAGACTTGGAAACAATAATACAGAAATTCATATGGAAACATAAATGACCATGAATTGCCAAAACAATCCTTAGCAAAATAAAACAAAACAGGAGGTATCACACTCCCAGACGTTAAACTCTATTATAAAACTATAATAATCAAAACAGCCTGGTATTGGTACAAGAACAGGCATATAGACCAATAGAACAGGATAGAGATTCCAGAAGCAAAACCTCAACTTCTTAACCAGTTCATCTTCGACAAACTCTCCACCACCAACCACTGGGGAGAGGAGAACCCATTCAGTAAATGGTGCTGGGAAAACTGGCTGACCACATGCAGAAGATTGAAACAGGACCTCTACCTATCACCATACACAAAAGTCAACTTTAAATGGATCAAAGACCTAAATGTAAAACCTCAAACTACAAGAACCTTAGAAAATGCAGGAGACACCTTTATGGAGATTGGGACTGGCAACGAATTCCTGATCAAATCCCCAGGTGCCCAGGCCATAAGAGAGAAGATAGACAAGTGGGACCTCATCAAACTGACAAGCTTCTGCAAAGCCAAAGAAACCATCAAGAGAGTGGGGAGACAGGCCCCAGACTGGGAAAAATACCAGTGCTTGGTGTTGCCCCCTACTCCCCACAAACATTGGAGGCACTACCACTTTTCTCTCCTTTTTTTTTTTTTTTGTATTTTTAAAATTGTGCTACCATATTCGTAACACAACACTTACCATTTTAACTCTTTTTAAAGTCTACAATTATACGGCATTAATTACTTTCACGATGTTGTGCAACTTTCACCACTATTTAAAAAATATCTGTATTATCCCACAAAGGAACTATGTAACTATTACATAATAACTGTCTCTTCCTCACCAACCCCTGACAATCTCTAGTCTACTCTGTCTCTGTGAATTTACCTACCTAGAGACTTCATATAAACTAAATCTTACAATATGTGTCCTTTTGTGTCTGATTTCACTTAGCATGTCTTCAAGGTTCATCCCTGTTGTTGTATGTATCTGAACTTTATCCTTTTTTTCCTTAATTAAAGAAAGGGTCTCACTCCGTTGCCTAGGCTGGAGCACAGTGGTGCAATCATAGCTCCCTGCAGCCTCAAACTCCTGGGCTCAAGTGATCCTCCAGCCTCAGCCTCCAGAATAACTGGGATTATAGGCACAAGCCACCTCACCCTGCTTGTTTCTTTTAAGGTTGGATGATATTCCATTTGGGCACGTACCTCATTTTCTTTATCCATTCATCTGCTGGGCATTTGGGTCGCTCCCCTAAACTGGAGAACCACATTTTTCTTTCTTTATTTTATTGTTGGGTTTAAGTCTCACTCTGTTGCCCAGGCTGGAGTGCAGTGGCACATTCACGACCCTACCCAGCCACCGCAGCCTTGACCTGCTGGGCTCAGGCAATTCTTCTGCCTCAGCCTTTCAGGTAACCGGAACTACAGGTGCATGCTACCATACCCGGCTAATTTTTTTTGATTTATTGTAGAGACAAGGTCTCACCATGTTGCCCAGGCTGGTCTCAAACCCCTGGGCTCAGGCAGTCCTCTCGCCTTGGCCTCCCAAAGTGCTAGGATTATATAGGCTTGACCACTGCATCCAACCTCTTTTTTTAATTTTAAAGATGTGGGGTACAATTCAGGGTTAGGTGTACAAATGGTCATTGTACAGGTGAAGTTCAGACCTCACTGTGGCCTCCACTTCGCCTGGTTTGAGATCAGGTACACTTATTGATGCAGTGTACCCTCCCTCCCCTGGCAGTTTCTGGCTACTGCCAATCCCTTTCTTGTAGTATTATGGTAACTGTTCAGGGTCCACTTATGAATGAGAACATGTGGGACTCAGTTCTTTGTTTCTGTGATGGATCACTGAGTATTACAGACTCTAAATCTATCCAAGTTTCTAGATAATTTTGTCCTTCCTTATGGTTGCATAATATTCCATCGTTTATATGTACCACATTTTTAAAATCCAGTCCACTTTCTATGGGCAGCATGGTTGAACCACCGTTTTTCAAATTTAACAAGGTCACACACATAAAAAGAATAAAATGACAAAAGGATGCAGAGGCTAAATACCAACCAGCACAGGGAATAGGCCCAGATGAGTGAAACAGCTGCGATTTAATCGGAGTGGCAAGCAGCCAGCTTTTAGGAGAGATTCTCAGTGGAGGGGACAGTCGGGTGGTTGAGATTTTCCTCCTTTCTGTACAGATATTTTGTCATCATTACCCTGGTTTCCTGAGGGTGAACTTACAATTTCAGGAAAATGGAAATGATTTCTTCTATTCTGAAAGCAAAACGTGATTCTGACAGTGACAGCGCTTTGTTGCCTAAGGCAATAAAACAAATATCATCTTGTTTCTGAGATCATTTGCATTAACAAGTGGTGGCTACTTCTGGGCTAGAAATGTCGGACAGGACCATGTCAGTAGGGAACAGGAATACAGCTGAAAAAGCAGGTGGGGAAAAGGAAGGGACCGGGAAGAGAAAAGACTGAGAGGAGAGTAAGAAGAGACTAACTTTGGGTGGTTTGGGACAAAGTTCTTGACAAAACCTTGGAACAAATTCTCAACAATAGAACCAGCTGACCTGCTTCACCGGACCTATCTGGCACCCTTCACACTGGAGTGTTTGATAATATCTCTTGAATTAGTCAAGAGCAAGTACCTTCCTCTGTTCCCTTTAAGCTCTTTTTGTTTAAAATGAGGTAGGCCATTAGCCTTCTTCAGATTTCTAGTTGTCCACCCATCCCAATACTACCGAACACCAACACCTCCTAAGGTTTCACTTCTCAAAGCTGAGTCAACTCGCGTTTAGTGTTTAGCATAATTGTCTGTGCAGATATAAATATCCATGTGTCTGGCTACTGGTGGTGTTATTAACTTCTCCCATCTTTCCTTCTGTTTTTCACTGAATTTCAGAGCCATTCATCTTGCCCTTATTTTTTTTTTTGAGTTGGAGTCTCACTGCGTCGCCCAGGCTGGAGTGCAGTGGCACACACGCTCACGACCACCCCAGTGTTGACCTGCTGGGCTCAGGCCATCCTTCTGCCTCAGCCTTCAAAGTAGCTGGAACTACAGGTGCGCACTACCATGCCCGGCTAATTTTTTGATTTATTGTAGAGATGAGGTCTCACCGAGTTGCCCAGGCTGTTCTCGAACCCATGGGCTCAGGCAATCCCCTCGCCTCAGCCTCCCATAAGTGCTGGGATGACAGGCTTGAACCACTGCGCCCGGCCCGTCTTACCCTTCTGTATTTTCCCATTCTTGCTTTTCTTCTAATTCTGATTGTTTCTATTAGAGTGTTGACCTCTGGCTAAATCAAGGTTTTCCGTCATCCCTTTCTCATGGCCCATTGCAAGGATGCTTTAATCTAAGGATTGCAAAGGGAAAAATGATTATGTGCCTTATTTGATTTTATTTTCTGAGACAGGGTCTCACTCTGTCTCCTGGGCTGGAGTGCAGTGGTGTGATCCAGGCTTACTATGGCCTGGACTTCCTGGTCCTCAAGTGATCCTCCTATTCAGCCTTCTGAGTAGCTGGAACTACAGGCGCGTACCACCATGCTAATTTTTTGATTTTTTTTTTTATAGTGATGAGGTCTTCACTATGTTGCCCAGTCTGGTCTCGAACTCCTAGGATCAAGTGATCTTCCCACCTTGGCCTACCAAAGTGCTGGGATCACAGGCGTGAGCCACTGTGTTGGCCTTATTTTTAGTTTTTCTAAGAGAGATGTAAATTGGCTGTTGTTTAGTAAGCAATGATCTGAGCGACATGAGTGATATATTACTGCAAGTGCTGGTGTATCTGTCCTAAGTAATACATCTGACTGAGAATGATTCTGTCCCAGCTGTTCTGAAATTTCTTTATATACTTTTATAGAGATAATACTCAGTTGGTTTACCACAGCAGACTACCAGACTGTGTGTCCCCCCAGTTTTCTCCTTTTGTTGAGTTGGTCCATGGTGCATTCCTGTCTTGAGTATCTGATTGAAGTCTTATGCAATTAGCTTTTCCTGCAGTCCATATTTACATCTTCATGAAACTGTTCCCTTTCATGGTTTAATGATAAATTTGGTTCATTTTGATCATTTGCCACTTACATGCAACATGAATCTTGTCACATTGTCTAAGACGGTCAAACGTTAATCCCATATGATAAAGTTTTCACTCCTCAAGTGTGCCTGATACAAGAAAGGGCATGTTTTATCTTCTACTCTGTTATTTCTCTTTATCATTATTCTCTTAAAAATTTTTTTATTTTAAAGATGCAGAGTACAACTCAGGGTGAGGTATACAAATGTTCATTATGCAGGTACCCTTGTTGATGAGGTGTGCCCCCTCCCCTGGTATTATTATTCTTTATCATTATTATATTCATTCTAATAGTCTCATTGTAATTATTCTTTTCTCTCAACCCCTACTTTATTAGTTTACTTAAAAACTAATTTTTGGGCTGTGCTTGGTGGCTCAGCCTGTAATTCCAGCACTTTGGGAGGCCGAGGTGAGTGGACTGCCTGAGCCTTTGGGTTTGAGACTAGCCCAGACAGCTTGGCAAGACCTCATTTCTACAATAAATAAAAAATTAGTCAGGTGTGGTAGTGCGCGCCTGTAGTTCCGGCTACTTGGAAGGCTGAGGGGGAAGGATCACCGGAGCCCAGCAGGTCGAAGCTGGGATGGCTGTGAGTGTGTGACTGAACTCCAGCCTGGGCAACAGAGTGAAACTCCAACTCAAAAAACAAAAACTAATTTTTGGCTAGGCATGGTGGCTCATGCCTGTAATCTCAGCACTTTGGAAAACCGAGGCAAGAAGATCACTTAAGGCCAGAGTTTAAGATTAGCCTGGGCAACATAACAAGACCCTGTCTCTTAAAAAAAAAAATTAGCCAGGTGTAGTGGAGTGTGCCCATAGTCCCAGCTAATTAGGAGCCTAGGAGGTTGAGGCTGCAGCGAGCCGTGATTATGTCACCGCACTTCAGCCTGGACAGAGTGAGACTGTCTCTAAAAAAAAAAAAAATTAGTACTAATTTTCTAGTTCCAGAGGTGAGAGCTTAGAGGCAGTTTCTTTTTCTTCTATAGTAGTGGCCCTTTACACAATACAGACTCAGAAAGTGTTAATAGTGTGAGCAAACTTGAGTGCACTCTCCAGTTCTCGTGATCCTCATACATTTCAGACGGAAAGAAAGGGGAGAATCCCTATTCAAAAAGGAATGTTAGGGGTGGTGGCTTACCATCATTTTAGGCAGGTTCAGCATAAGATAATAAGCATGATGCTGTCCCAAAGGCTCACAACATGGGGCCCTTTTCATCAGTCTGGGAGGAGGAATGCTTTCTCTCAGCAGGTCTGTTGAAGTACAACTTTTTTTTTTTTTTTTTTTTTCAGTTGGAGTCTCACTCTGTTGCCCAGGCTGGAGTGCAGCAAAACGCTCGCGGCCATCCCAGCGTTGACCTGCTGGGCTCTGGTGATCCTTCCGCCTCAGCCTTCCAAGTAGCTGGAACTACAGGTGTGTGCTACCATGCCCATGCTAATTTTTTTGATTTGTTGTAGACATGAGGTCTCGCCAAGGTGCCCAGGCTGTTCTCGAGAAGTACATTTAATAACAAATATCCTATGCAATCCTGGTATCTCATGATATCCTGGAAAGACAGGTGTTGGGGCTTCCCTTTTAGCTGACTAGTTGGGTGTAGTCTTAACTCTTAGAATGGTCATTTCATTCAGGAGGCAAGGCTGTCCAAGCACATTGAACGTTAACAAGGTATCCCAGGGCAAGGCTGCCCAGGTGTAAGGTGGTAACCTGTCAGTCCTTTACAGGTATTTAAAGGACAGTCTCATTCATGAGTGTCAAGTATCACATTGATGCCTACATTTAAGCCACTATATTATAATAGAGTTGCACTATCCAGCTTTACATCTAAGGCTTTGGGATTACCAGGCTTATACCAAGTGTCATTTGCCTCAGGCACGATTAGAGGATTGTCCTAAGGATTTCTACTAAGACAATAGTGATGTCAAGTGTGAATTTTCTCACCCTTAGGAGTGGGTTATTTTCTGGGATGTAGTTTAGGAAGTAGTGCCCCTTTTGGACAAAACCATTGGTTTCATTTAGGCTTGCCACACTGAATCGTGCCCATTGTTCAAGCCAACACCAAACTATGCC